GAGCCCCTGCTCCGCGCGCGCCAGCCACGGCACCAGCAGCGTCACCTCCACGCCCTTGCCCAGCGCCGCAAGGTACGCCGCGCGCAGGAGCGGGTTGACCGCGGTGCCCGTCATCCACGGGAGACTCGCCGTCGTCACGATCGCGAACTTGCGCTGCTTCTGCTGCGCTACCGGCGGCTGCGGCTGCTGCGGCTGTGTCTGCTCCTGCTGAATCTCCTCCTGCGCTTCCCCCTTCTTCAAAACGCCCGCTTTAACCGCAACCTTCCCCGTTGCCCCCTGCGCCTGCGCGCCCCCCTGCGCCGCGCCGTGCTGGCTGGAGGCGTGCGCGCTCCACCAGCCCGCGTCGCTCTCGTCGAGGCGGTATCCCGTGCTGCGCATGATCTCCTGCACGCGCGCATCCACGTCCGCCGCCGCGTCGGAGGCCGCGCCAGCGGTGCCCGCGCGTAGCGTGCGGATGGTGCTGCGGACCTTAGTCGCAACGGCTGGCGGAACGGAGAAACAACCGGGGAAGGTGGGGGGGAGGGGGGAGAAGGGGACAAACTTAGCATGGCTCAAGGATACGTCACACGACACGGCACAGCACGGTAAGACACGGCTCGGTACGCTACGACATGGTACAGTACGGTACAGTACGGTACGGCTCGGCACGGCACTCACCCTTGTCCATGCCGAGGTGGTCCAGAAGAACTTCGGAGTTGCGCACGAAGGACTCGAGCACCTCGGGCACGTCCAGAGGCAACACGTCGGGGTGCTGTAGGGATAGCAGGAACGACACGAGTGCGGAGCAGGGGAAAGAAGACAGGGGAGCAGGAGAAAGAGAGGAGACCACCAGGATGTGAATAAGAACCACGGTGGAACCCGGAGCGCGGCGCAACGGGCGAAAAGCGGGAGTGAGAGCGACGCGCAGAGCGGAAGGGCGACAAGGAAAACGGAGAGCGTGAGGGAACGTGGACACAACGGGAGAACTATCGGGAGGCACACTAACGCGAGGCACATTTAACCGAAACGCACTAACGGAAAGGCACGCACCAGCTCTGACGAGAAGTCCTTGGACGCCGACAGCTTCAGGTTCTTCTTCACGGCCTCCAGAAACTCCGCCGGCGAACGCGGACCGGCAGCCGGCGGCGAAGTAGCAGCAGCGGAGGCAGCAGCCGCAGCAGCTTCCTTCATGGCGCGTTGGAGCGGAACCGTCCAGCTCTCGCCTAACGGCCACGTGTGCGCCTTGACGGCCTTGTTCCACTCGTCCAGGTTGATAAACTGACGGCCGTCAAACGGCTTCAGACTAACCGGCGCGCGACCGGCGTTACCGGCATCTTGGAATTTCTTCAGCTTGGAAAGAGCCGGCGGAACGTGCTGCTCCCAGCTCTTGAAAAACAAGTCGAGCTCGCTATCGATCGACAGCGCTCGCTCACCCAGCGGCTTCGTGATCTCCAGGCTCCGGTCTTTAATCTTCCGGATAAGCGTTCCGGCCGTGACGTCCTTGTCCTTGTCTTTGAGCGGGAAAACGGCGGGTAGTTTGATGTTCTCCCAGTCGTCTAGCTGTTCGGCGATCTTTTTCAGACCCTGCGTGCGCGTGCTGATGAGCTTAAGGTCGCTCTCCGCGCTCTTACGCACGTCGAGAAACGACTTGGACAGAAACGCCATCGCACGATCCGCCGGGACTCCCGAGGCTCCCGGGATCCCCCCGGACGCGTACTCTGGCCCTGACTGCGTGCAATCGAGCGGACGAGGAACCATTTTGACCGGCGAACGCTTGAAACAACTCAAGCAAGACCTAGAGAAGTCGAATCCGACGACTGGAGGAGGTTAAAGCAGCGAGATTGCGCTACGTACGAATTTCCGCTGGACTGGACCGAGCAACCGGAGAAAAGCGAGAATAGCGAGGATCGGCTATGCGCGAGTCAGGAGACTGAGAGTGGGACGTTTCGACGACACAGGTGATTGAGCCTGGCGCAAGCTAAGCTGATGTCGTGTTTTCACGGGGACGCCGAAGCAGAAGCGCAATGGATGTATATGCAGCACGGGGAATATACAAATGCGATTCCTGCTTCTACGAGGCTGAACGATCAGCAAGCTTGGATCAGGAAGCTCAAAGGTGCCTGAAGCCACAACGAAGAATCAGAAAACAGCACAAACTTATATGGATGGACGGAGTTCATTCATGCTCCTCCGAGCTCATTGCGAGAAAACTGTTGGCTGAGGTGAGGTGAGGTGAGGTGAGGAAATGGCATGGTGATGACAGCAGAACGGGGATCTGCTGCGGGAATTCCGCAGCCGACAAGGGGAGGGGGGAAACGGGGGAGTTTGGGCGGGAGACAAAGGGAAAGAAGGGGGAAGCGCGGATGAAATCCGACCACAGAGGAAGGTGAGAATCTGCGCGAATGGTACATGAATCACGTGGGAAACTCCGACCTTCGGTGAGGGGGGCGTGCGCCTAAGGGCGGGAAGGGGGAAGGTTCTCCGCGTGAGGGACAAGCCACGGAGTTGCGGAATGGGACAGGGAATGGGGGAAGCCATCAAGGTTGTGCACGGCAACGCGGGTTTCTTCCGCCCGTGATGCACGTTGCGTGTTGGATCACACACAACTGCGGCCAAGCTCCGCCTAGGCATTTGACTGGACTGTGATGTGTTCCGTCCCGTTTCCGTTCTGTCTTTTCGTGGCTCAAGGGAGAAGAATCACTGATGAGTGAAAAGATGCCGACACGTAATTGCAGTAAACAATTGAGACATAGAAACTCGTTTGGGAGGCTTATTTCACAAATTACTCTGCGGTAGTTTTCCACTTCAAATGACAGAGAGCGCAGATGGCCAGTGTCAGGTCCTCTAAGAGATTGGAAACAGTTTATAGCACATTGCCAATCAGAAACCAAATATGGTGCTGGCAATGGGAGGGATATGGGTTGTCGAGCTGAAAGTTGCTTTCAAACATGGTTTTAGGGGACATGATCAGTACTAACTTGTACCCCAATTTCCAAAACAACCAGGTAAAGTACTCCCAGTTCCTCCTTTCTACCCTGATCAAAATAATCGAATCGGCGTGAGTACAGGAGGGCAAATGGAAACTCGCTTGAGGAAACGTGAGATTTGCGCGCCGAGCTAAGGGCGAAACAATGGACGGCGGAAACGGATGAGCTGGATGGATGGACGGACGGATGGGTGGGCTGCGGCCCAAAAAGCTCGTAACCTGATTTGGGTGGTGTGTGGTCTGTGGGCTGAATGGACGGGGTGGTTGGGAAATTTGCTTTTGCGATACAGAACAGCACGCGAATCAAAGGAGGGAGGTTCGTGAACCTGACATTTGGCGACGTATTATTAGCCAAGAGGTGACTCCTGCGCGGTTTGGACGTGTTCTCAGGGGGACTCTAGAACCTCCAACAGTAAAACAGGGTGCTTGAACCACATGATTCGTTCCCGAACAATCTAAAGGGTGTTCAAAGTGCTGCACATTTCCGACGTCAAAGTTCGTCGAGGTTGTTGGAGAAGGTAGGTGAGTTGAAGGGTGCCAAATCGGTGTTCAAAGTACGCTTCAAAAATTGCTGACGCCAGCATCGCTTCTTGTACGGAATTCAGCGCATCTGTACAGTGATGAACCGACCACATCAGACAGAATAACAGTTTGGCGGGAATTGCATGTTCGAAATTGACGAAGTTGTAAAATCCGCAGTGCGTTTTCGCAGCCATTAGACGCTCTGTCTTTGCATACGAAATAAGCCATGCGATTAACGAAATTCGTCTGAATTCAATTGTTCTACTATTTAGGCCGGCATTTGTCCTGAGTGAAAGTTCTTCGCCGGCATTGTGCTCAAAGTGCCGCTCTCGACGTCAATCGACGTCGAGCTCGACGTCGGCCGACGTCGAGCCTTCGACGTCAAAGACTGTAGAATATTACTCTGTACACGCCTTAATTTGACCCCAAGGCGGATGAAGGTGTTGCTGTCGCAGATGTCAGGGAAGATACAGCTCAATGTCCAATCAGGTGTCGTACGCAATGTCGTCTGGGGACCACTCACGATACGGCCACTGTGTCAACCAGGCTAATTTACCATGCAACTGGGGATGGATGCCACACGCCACGCTGCTATTCGACAATACACGTCGACACAATCAAGGGCGTCCCTGCCCACAAACCCTTACGAGCACGCTTCCGACAATACGGCAGCCAGTGAGGACTCTCCACTCCAGTCTCCAAGGATTGCCGCAATTTCTATTGGAGCTGTGCATGCTATATTCCCCCTGAAAGATGCTGCTAGGGGTTGTACAGTTTTAACCTTCTTAGGAGGGGGTGCGATTGGTTATACCCCTTGATGAGAAGATGTCAGGTTCATGACAAGATATTTGGGTGAACAAGAGAATACTGTGGTTGCTTAGGGTGAACAAGAGAATACTGTGGTGTCTTAGGGTGAACACAAGAATACTGCGGTTTCTTAGAAGTTCACATATGTGCGCGTAAATATTGTCAATTTATTAATGAGAACCATGGAATGGTGAGTTATTATAAGTAAAGTATTCAGAACAACACGACCACTTCGTTAATCCGCACGTGATATAAGTTATATCGCAGCTGTCGTCAGGGTGACGCTGTGTAATCTCCAAGTTCTTCGAGATTTGAAAATTTGAACCTTACAGCGTTCTGAAGAGTTTCCGACTGACCACGGGTGAGTGGTAACCTCGACGGTGGACCCTCACGAAACCCTGGTTACCGTCGAATTCTCTCGACCATGTTCAGTGCAGATAATTTCGTTGGTTACTGGGCCACTGGAGCAGATTTCGCAATCGCCGTACCAATCGAGAACGCGATGGGGAAAGCCACTTTTCCCTACGTTTCTCCAGTTTTGTTCATAATCGGGAAACTGGCTAACTTGCAGCAGTCTTTATCCCTCATCTCGCCTCCTGCTATTCATATATTCCCGTATATCGCTCCTCGTCTTCATATCGCGAACCAGTCCACGAGTTAACGTAAATTCGTTTGGCAAAACTAGCTGACTATTACTCTGTCAGCCATGTACGGAGGAGGTGACTTTGGCGGAGGTGATTTTGGCGGTGGCGGAGCCAGCCAATTTGGAGGCGGCGGCTTCATGCCTACAACCCCGGGGCCACCTGGGGGAGCAGGAGGAGCAGCTGGAGTTTACTCTCCTAACGCAGGTGGACGGGTGCGTTTCATAATGGATGGATAAATTGTTGCGACCATGGTCTCCCGTTTCCCGTGTTTCATCCGTGGCTGCTTGTCCGGTGTTCTTGTTTTTACTTGGCCGTCGTTTATTCCCTCGCTTGTCCTTTCTCGATCGATTTCTCTCACTTGTTCTTGCAGCGTTGCCGCTACCTTATCCGTGCTTTTTAATTCCTCTTTCCGTCCCTTGTTCGTTTCACCACGTACCTTGCATCGCTATTCACCTTGTGCCGCGTCGTCTGCCACGCTGGCCACGTCACGCCGCGTCACGCCACGTTCATGCCACGCCATCATGCCGAGCAGAGACCCAACAACGTCAACACGCTCTTCCCTGTGACCGTGCGGGAGATCGCCAACGCTGGAGTGCGCGACACGACGGAAAACTCGCTCTTCATCAACGGCCACGATGCAACTAACGTGCGTACCAACCAACGGTTGCCTGCTTACAAACAGCGTGCCTCACATCTGCTGCTATTGGTTCGTCCCTGTGACCGTATTTGGGTCCTCTAAACGCCCAAGTCACTTGCCGTGTTCGTGTCAGTCAGTGCTTCCCTAATGTGCTGCCAGATATGTGCCAGTATGGCACACCAAGATACGAAGCACACCAAGGTACACATAGTCAGTGCCAATATGTGTACCTTGGTGTGCTTCGCATCTGCTCCACGTGTGTCTCTCGCGTTTGACTGCACGCGTATGTGTCTCTGGGCCGCCTCAAATATTTTTTTGTCTGCATGTGACTGTACGCGTATGGCAGATGGTGCTTGTAGGCAAGGTGGCGAGGCGCGACGACCACGAGACAGACGTGTCGATAGTGCTGGACGATAGCACGGGCAAGATTGAAGTGCGCCGATGGTGAGAAGGGGACCAGTGGAAGGGGGAAAAGGGAGGGGAAGGGGGGAGGTCGTTGAGGCACCGTATTTTTGTTCGAGGGCCTGAATCACTGACCAGGAGATGGACAAGTTGATAGTGCTGGACAATAGCACGGGCAGGATTGAAGTGCGCTGATTGTGAGAAGGGGGGAGGAGGGCGAGGGGAAATGAAGAGTGGGATGGAGGATTTGGGAGGGGAAGGAAGTGAGGGGAGGTGTGTATTTGGGTGGGTGGGTGTGTGTGGGGAGGGGGGGGGGGGGGGGGGGGGGGGGGGGGGGGGGGGGGGGGGGGGGGGGGGGGGGGGGGGGGGGGGGGGGGGGGGGGGGGGGGGGGGGGGGGGGGGGGGGGGGGGGAGGGAGGTGCGTGCGTGCGTGCGTGCGTGCGTGCGTGTGTGTGTGTGTGCGTGTGTGCGTGCGTGTGTGTGTGTGCGTGTGTGCGTGCGTGTATGTGTGTGCGCTGCTGCTGCTAAAACTTGCCACTCTCTTACTGCTCCTGTCAAAGATTGAGGGATGCCTTTGCTGCTGGCCTCTCCCACCTTCCCAACTTTTCTTTTCCTGCATGGTAATCTACCTGACTTTGTCCTACAGGATTGATCGTGACACTAACGAGTTGGCTACCTTGGAGACCGTGCGGTAAGGTTACCTGCACACTCAGGATCACTTGTTGTATAGTAACTTAAAACCAACGTTTCTTGCAGGTTACTTGACAACAGGGGTGTGGTTTTCCGTATTCTATATATTCCCTGTATCTTTTTTTTCTTGAGTGTCCTTCCTGGGTTGATTTTGGCTGGAAAGGCCACATAGGTTCTAATGAGCCTCGTGCTACATCGTGTGCATAAACAGTGCCTGGTTCCTTAGGTGTATACACGTGCGTTGAGATTGACATTGCAGAATCCAACTCAAGCCGCCTCTTGTTTTTTCTTACTCGTTTTTTGCTTGCTCTTCTTCCCACGGCTGTGCGCCCTTATCCTCTCTTACCAACCTATCACAGCCCTGGAGCGTACGTTCGAGTGCATGGCCACGTGAGGCTGCAGAACAACAAGCGATACGTCATCGCACATGCTGTCAGGTGCGCGCTTTTGAGCCAAGATATGAAAGGAAAAGGGGGCGGCGGGGGGGATGTCTTTTTTTGCGTCTTATGTCTCGTGATTCCTCCCTGGATGTATTGACTATTTTTTTAATAGACCTGGATGTCTTGACTCTTTGTTGAACCTCTCATTCCAACAAAGCTAGCAATACTCGTGCAACAAGTTGGTCCATCCACGTTGTCACAATCGATCAGCACTTTTCCCGCTTCCTCCACCCCCACCACCTTTCCCCTTCTCTCTCCTCCCCATCGCCCCCGGTCTCCTCCTCTCTTCCAGCTCGTGTCTGTAGGCATTCGTTTTCAAAGTAATCAAGAATCTCCTTGCCTCCCTCTTGTGTCTGTGTGTGCAGGCCTGTCACGGATTTCAACGAGGTTACATTCCATTTTCTGGATGCCATTTTCGTGTACCTGCACACTCGCAAGACGGTACGCACAGCAGGGGGTTGCACCACCAGTCGACTGTTACACTTTTCCTGCTAAGTGGAAGCTTCTTGCATCGGGGGGGGGCGTTTCCAAGCTGTACCTCTTTGTTCATGGCAAGAATGACAGGATAGAGGCGGCACAGGAATGTGTTCGAAGCCAAACTAAGTCTGATTCTCTCTCACACTCACTCACTCACCCACTCACTCACTGCCCCTCACTCCTCCCCTCACTCTCTCTCTCCATTGATCTTGCCCTCCACAGGGAGGAGGAGCGGATGGCACAGAGGCATCACCCCATCAGCCGCCACAGCGGCCGCAACAGCCTGCCTACAACCAGGTAGGGATTCACTAACAAATGCTGCCACAGTCACTGCTTTTTTATTGGCACCTCAAACAAAGATGGCACAGAGGCATCACCCCACCAGCCCCCACAGCGGCTACAACAGCCTGCTTACACCCAGGTAGGCATCCTCACCAACTTCTGCTGCCACACTCACTGCTTGTAATCGCTGCTGTGTTCCTGCTGCATTTTGCTCTACTTGCCATAGGTGCAGCAGCTGCTGACATGCACAATGTGTAGTGCCAAATTTTATGTGCTTTTCCCTTTCTTCCTCGTCTCTGTCCCATCTCTCGCGCTGCCCTTCAAACCACTCGGCAGTATGTGCCGCCACCAGCACCGGCAGCAGCAGGAGCAGCAGGTGGAATGGGCGGCGGCGGAGGCGCGTTTGGTGGTGCTGGGGGAGGGGCAGGAGGGGGGCGGGGAGTGGAGTTGCGCGACAGAATCATGCAGTTTTATGAGAGCCCACAGAATGCGTGAGTGCGACGTGTGATTTGCTGCGTGTGATATGCGGCGTGTGATGTGCTGAGGTTTGTACGAGTTGACAGTCGAATACACCTGGCCGGCGGGGAGTGGAACTGTGTGATTGAATCATGCAGTTCTGCGAGAGTAAACCAAATGCGTGAGTGCGAGTGCGGCGTGTGATGTGCTGAGGTTTATTATGAGTTGAGAGTCAAAACACACCTGGGAGGAGGGGTAGTGGAACTGCGCAGTCATGCAACGGAGTCATGCCGTTTTAAGAGAGTCCACAAACTGCGTGAGTTCGACAAGTGGTGTGTGCTAGACGTTGTTGCTTGAATTTGTTGTGTGAGTTGTTTTATGTCCTTGAGAAGATGTGATTTTCTTTGTTTTCTCCGTGCATATCTCTGTCCCTCACTCACTGCAGGACCGTTCAACAAGGTATTCACCACCAGCAAGTGGCTCAGAGCATGCCAGACGTATCGCCCCAGGAGATTCGGTCAGTAATTTTATGTTGTCTTTCAAGTTGGGTGTGTGCGTTCGTGCGCACGAGCGTGCGTGCATCTCTCTCTCTCTCTCCCTCTCTGTGTGTGTGTGTGTGTGTGTGTGTGTGTGTGTGTGTGCGTGCGTGCGTGCGTGCGTGCGTGTGGGTGGGTGTGTGCGTGCGTGCTTGCGTGCGTGTGTGTGTTGGATTTTGGGTTTCCCATTGGTGGTGACATTTTTGTTTCTTGTCTTGATGGTGATTGTTTGCCTTCCTCAACATGTGTGCTATTTCTGTTGCAGGAGCACCGTGGAGTTTCTTGTTATGGAGGGGCTACTCTATTCCACGATTGACGAAGATCATTTTAGATCCACAAATGCATAAATATAGGACTGATGGAGCCACTTCACTGACCTCGCATGTTGCATGGCTTTCCACTGACTGATTCTGTGTTGCATGATTTCGGCACCAATTGTACGTGATGTTTTTGCTTTGTATTGTTTTGTATGCCTTTTTAGTGAACATAGTGAAGTGCTTATTTGCTACACCCGGAAGAAAAATCTCAATAATGATTCACGATCAGAACGAATCTGAGCACAAGTTCCAGGGCATTTTAGTACCGTAACCACGCTATTCAATACAGGGGCATTTTGATCTGAACGCAACATGTCTGAAATGCACCGCCACTAATAAACTAAACCCAGACGAATCCTGTTTCCCACGTGACCTCTTGTTTTCCGCTTTCCCCCTTCCGCGCTCCATCCCCTTCCGCCGTCCGGCGTCCGGCGTCCGCCTTCCGCCTTCCGCCTGTGCGCTCGCGCCGTCCGCGCCTGTCGCCATGAAGGCGTGCATCATGCGAACGCTGGGCGCTTCGAGCGTGGGCTTTCTGACAGGATCTAAGAGGTATAGATAGATGCTGATTACGTCCAGGATATTAAGTGAAGATATTATATGTTTGCGCGTTGAATGTCTTGCTGCACAGTAGCAGATTGCAATAGCGATATAGAGTGATTGAGATTCTATATGTTCGCATATTATCCGCCAGGTATCTCACCAATACTTGCCTGCCACGTGTATTCCGTCCGTTCGATCTCGCTCTGCCGATCACACCCTCTCCTCCGTCGCCCAGGCTCGTGGTAGCTTCGGCCACGTCATCCCGAACCCTGCTGACGATGCGCCCAGCTGGCCAGCGCGCGTTCCACGTCAGCGCTATGATGGGGGAGGAGGCGCGGCGCTTCCAGTCAGGCGGTCAGGGTCAGTGCTGGGGGGAAGGGGGAGGGAGAGGGGAAGAGGGGAAAGGAGGGGGGGAGAGGCGTAGGAAACAGGGGGGGTTGGAAGGGTGAAGGCGGAGGGGAGCTTGTCTCATCTCGTTACTGTGTCGTCTCCCTACCTTTCTTCCGCTCACCCCTCCCTCCCTTACTTACGCCACCCCCCCCACCACCCCCACTACCACCAGAGCGCTCCGCGCGTGTGTGTGTGGACCACACTTTTTTCACATGGGCTAGTGCGCCTAACATTTCATTGCTCCCCAGTGTCCCCACTCGTGCACTCATCTCTCTGCTGCCTCCTCCCTCTGCCTTTCCCCCACCACCGCCAAAGCCCTCCGCGCGCATGTGTGTGGACCACACGGTGTGCAAGGGCAAGGGCAAGGGCAAGGGCAAGGGCAAGGGCGCTCAACATTTGGCTGCTCCCCCCTCTTGCACTCATCCCCCCTCCCACCCCCACCACGGCCAGAGCCCTCCGCGAGTGTGTTCGTAAACCACACGGCGTACGAGGGCAAGGGCAAGGGCAAGGGCACGTGATATCTTGTTTCCCCTCTCGCACTCATCTCTCTGCTGCCTCGTCCCCCCCACCACCACCAGAGCCCTCCGCGCGTGTGTTTGTTTGTAGACCACACGGTGTACAAGGGCAAGGGCGCTCAATACCATAGCCGCGCTTCTCTTGCACGCAGCATTGTGATGCCACCTCCCTCTGCCGTTCCCCATCCCCGCCGCTGCCACCACCAGAGCCCTCCGCGCGTGTGTTTGTAGACCACACGGTGTACAAGGGCAAGGGCGCTCTAAGCTTCGTGCCCATCGCCCCTCGCTTCCGAGTAACCCAGGTACCCCTTCCCGCCTTCCCCGCCTTCCCCCCCTTCCCCCCTCTCCCCCCTCACCCCTCCTCTTCTACCCCCTCTGCTTCTCTCCCGTTTTCCTTCTCCTCCTTTTCCTTCTCCATTTCCTTCTCCTTCTTTTCCTTCTCCTTTTCCATCTCCTCCTTTTCCATCTCCTCCTTTTCCTTCTCCTCCTTTTCCATCTCCTCCTTTTCCATCTCCTCCTTTTCCATCTCCTCCTTTTCCTTCTCCTCCTTTTCCTTCTCCCTCCAGTTCTCCGCCACCCTTCATCTCCACCTTCCTTCCCGCCCTCCTCCCCCACCCTTCTCTTCCCCGTCGCCCTTCCCCCACCCCGCCCTACTCTACTCTCTGCAGACGGGTGCGTATGCGTTGGCTCGCGAGGGTTCTGTGCTGCTTAACTTTTCCAACGCCATCGGCACGCGCAAATACGACTGGGACAACAAGCAGGTGCGAACGAGATGTTCTTCCCTCGCCTCCCCCTCCTCCCCTTCCACTACACCCCCCTTTGTCTCAACTTCTCCAACGCCATCGGCATGCGGAAGTACGACTGGGACAACAAGCAGGTGCGCGTGCCATGCACCCCCCGCCTCCCCTCCTCCCCACCTTCTCCGCCTCCCTCCCGCTCTTGCCTCCTCTAGTTACCCCTCTTTGTCTCGTTTTGCCAACGCCATCGGCATGCGGAAGTATGACTGGGACAACAAGCAGGTACGAGGGGGCGAGGTACGATGAGGGTTAGGAGGTGCCTGGCAGAAGGAGCGGGTGCAGGGGAGCGAGCAATCCTGGCAGGCATAGTAGAGCTGCCTGTAGTTGTCAGAGACCAGTTTAGTCTTAAGGCTGTTGCGATGCTTCAAAGTCTAGGCTCCCTCTCCCCTTAACCCTCCCCCCGCGCTCCGTTTCTCCCCCACCCCCCCCCAGATGTTCTCCCTGTCAGTGTCAGAGATCGGGTCAGTGCTGGGGCTGCAGAGTCCATTCAAATAACCCCTCTTCTATCCACTCTCCCCTCAACTTCCCCCACCCTCCCCTCCTCCCCGCTCCTCTCCCCGTCCCCCTTGCAGATGTTCTCCCTGTCGGTATCGGAGATCGGGTCAGTGCTGGGGCTGGTGAGTCTATTCAGAGACGCTCTATTCATCCCACACTCCCATCTACTCCTCCCACCCTTCTTACCTCCCCCCTCCGTCCCTTCCCCGCTGCAGAATTTCTCCCTGTCAGTGTCAGAGATCGGGTCAGTGCTGGGGCTGAACCCAGAAGACAAGCTCGACTTCTACCACGACCCGGCCAAGGGCAGGAGGTGAGGCCAGGGGAGGGAGGCGAGGTGAAGCAAGGTGGGGATGGGCAAGGGGAGCTACAGAAGCCTGCACCAGAGATCGGGTCAGTGCTGGGGTTGAACCCAGAAGACAAGCTCGACTTCTACCATGACCCGGCCAAGGGCAGGAGGTGAGGCGCGGGGAGGAGAGGTCAGATGGGGGATGGGCTGTGGGTGCTACAGGGATTGATTGATGCACTTAGGAACCTTGAAGCCAATTCCAGAGGTTCAGTCAGTGCTGGGGCTGAACCCAGAGGACAAGCTTGATTTCTACCATGATCCTTCCAAGGGCAGGAGGTGAGGCGCGGGTGAAGGGGCGGGGAGGTAAGTGGAGGGGACGGGAGGGGAGGGGAGGGGAGGGGAGGGGATCTGAGTTGCGTTAATCGCCCATAGTTAATCCATCTCATAATTATCTCTAGAGTTATTGATTCCTCTGTGGGATAACTTACTGCAGACATGTTATTCCTCTGTCTCTCTCTCTCTGCGTTTCATCTCTTCCTCTCTCAAATGGTCCTTTGTATTGATTCAGCAGGGCTACAAACATGCAGTGCTATCCATGTTAACCTCCATCCCTTAAGCCCCTTAACTCACCCCCCTTTCCCCCCCCCCCCCTGAGTGACCCTCTAGCCCTCCAGCGTGTGGAGGATGTCCCCCAGGTGCAGCGGCCAGGGGTCTGCTGCCATCTGGGGGTGTGCTGCCTCGATCCCAGCCCTGGCCTTGGTGTGCAGGGCATTCGCCTGGGAGCGCTGGAGGGCCACTGACCAGCGTTGGCTGAAGTGGCAGGCCATCTTCTTGGCCGATTTGGCCAAGGGGTTGGCCCTGAACCTGTTCCTAGCTGCTGCTGTGGCCAGCAGCTTAAGGAACGCTGTCGTGGGGGGCGCGTTTGCCCCGTATGTCTCGACGGCCAGGGCGCAGAACACCACGTGTTCAGTGTGCCTGTAGTAGTCCCTCTCCTTCCGCCTCTGTGCCTCCCTTGCAGCCCAGCCTGGGGGTTTGCGGGCTGTCGGGTCTCGGTTCTGCAGCACAGGGTCAGTGATAGTAGTGTCTGTGATCCAAGTCTCTCCACTGTCCGGGTCGCGTACAATCACATCTGCCTTCTTCGGGTCACTCTCTCTCCCTCTCTTCTCACCCCACCCCACACTCTGCTCCCACCAGTGAAGAGGGTCAGGTGCAGAAGGTGCTGCGTATCCAGCCATTCAATGACTTCACAGGCTTTTATTTCAGTCTCAGTGCGTGCCTGCCTCTTTCCCACTGTTTACACCACCCACCTTTGACTGCTGAGCACTGAACGGTGCTGCTCATCATTACATTCCTCAAATACCCCATGAGCTCCCTGGGTGTGGGCGCGCGCTCGTGCGTGCACGCACACGCGGATGTTTGTCGCACTCTGTCTTTCCTTACATAATTTGCTGCTCGTTCTTTATAATGGACACACTCACAAGTGGTTTCATGTGCTTTGCTTCATGTAATTCCCTTTCTTTCCTTCTGCTTATTTCAAATTCATGATTGCGTGCATGTGTCTGCAATGTGTGTCTGTGTATGCATGTATTCGAATGGGCACGTTGATTGCAGATGTGAAGGACGCTCGCAGGGGTGTTGATGATCGTTTTTCTGTGCCTGTCACCAAGGCGGAATTCATTGTGGTCCGAAGCGCCATGAATGTGAGTGAAAGGCAATGAAACATTTTTTCTCCTGGTGAGTACTAGTTAAACCATTAATTTGAGTTAATTCCTGGTACTGAGAAAGTCAATGTTGCATTAAAAAAAAAATTGAATCCACAGTGTCCATTCTAAGTTCTCTCACTCTCTTTGTTCTTAAAAATTATGAATGCCCCAACGTTGACATTTCAATCCTGCCAGGGTGACCCGTGTGTGTTTTTCCATGTCTATTGATGCTCTAGTCGTCTCCTTTTCATATTCCAATGGTCGTGGTTTTGTGCCCCCGTCTACATGCCAGCTAGCTCAGGCTTTTGTCCTCCCTTGTGGTGGATTGTGACGCCGTTGTGCCCTCCCTCCCCCTTCCACCCCCAAACCCCGTTCCCATCCGTACGGTTGGCCCCCATTTCTCACTGCAAAATTGCTTGAGAAGTACTCAACCCCCCCCCCACCCCGCCCCCCCCACCCCCCCCCCCCCCCCCACCCACCCCCACTCTGTTGCAGTTCATCTTGCCGCATCTTATGGGATGGAATGCGTTGGTAAGTCCTGGCTCAATTGATCCTTCCATGATGGTACCGTCAGCACCCTCTAGCGATAACAACTGGCAATGATGGAACCATCCTTTCTACTTTTGTACTCTCCAGTTTTCAGCTACCACCATATCAGGAACCAATCAGGTCAGGTCTTAGTTTGGGCTCCTGAATGTTGATGCTTTCAGTATGTATGAACTAAGGGTTTGCAGAGGCTCCAAACTATGGAGAGTCACATGGCACAGTACCGGTAGTTCAAACCAATCGCACATCTGCTTGATTGAGCAGTGCGATTGGTACAAACCAAGACATCAGCAGGAGGGGTGATATTGTTAGGGTGACTTATTGCTTTATTGAGTGCCCATACAAATTGTCACGAGAGCCAGATACGTATGGCAGTGGCTGAGTCTGACGCTTTTGATTGTACTAGCGGGTTGATACTCTCCAGGTACGCTACTCATCAAGCTCTAGCTCGAGTAAGTTCACGTGGCACGGGAAGGAGCATTCACGTTGCTTGTTTGGCGCTTTCCACCGCCGCGAGTGATCTCAACTTATTTTCAGCCTGTGAACGCCAACAGGTCAACAAGGCGTTTAGGAAACATAAAGCAACAGTCCAACGTACCGTATTGCAGTCTTGACGAAGCAATGCTATAAGAGCTTCCATCTCGTGTTTCAGCTCTCCTCGATTCATTAACTTGAACAACACGTTAGACTTAGCGCACTTTCTCATCAGCAGAAGACCATCACGAAGGGTGAAAGAAAGCGCTCTCATTTCGTCGCTGCCATACAAGTCATCCGTCAGCACCAAGTGTGCCAAGTTACAAGCTCATGAAAGTTGAACGAAATACCTCTTGGAGAATGCATTGACAGCATCAGGGCAGACCACAACTGCTGTTTCAAGAATGCTTTCGAATTTCCGTGCATAGCTACCAAATTCGTGGCAGTGAGTCCGATAGATCTTAGCATCGTATTCAGAGTCTCGAATGCCCTCAAGGGTGTTCAGGACATCCTGGAAGCAGCTTAGCTTTCGAAGTTTGGTCATTCTTCCAGTGACGCAACGAGGTGCTCGAGCTCAGGACGAGGATAACAAGGCGCTGAATTCAGTGAAAGTGGCTTCAGCTCGGGAAGCTGGGCTTGGCAGTTGCTTTTGGATGATGTCACAAGTTCCTGAAACAGGCTTCTTGAAACAGACGCTGTTTCAAAAAGTACACATTTTAGGCACATCGTTAGTACGGTGTAGTATCGTCCACATTAGAAACGTAATTCAAACAAGCATACCGTAATCCATAAACTACTACTTCAGAATTAACTGTGCAAATTTATGATATATATAAAAATTAAGTCAAGGTTAATGTTTTTCAAGAAAAATACACAGAGGGCTGGCTATTGAACCCTATAAATGGCATGCTTGATGGTTATCCTAGTGAGTGGGAAGAAAACATTGTGTTACATTATGCTTTCGCAAAGAAGCGTGAGACTGATGCTTCGATTTGAATTTGAAGTTTCTATACATTACCCCGCCGTGCACCCTCGATTTCATCGACTTCGAAGTTCTTGTTCAATCCAAGAACAACGGTTTTGAATGGTGCGTTGGGATCCAAAGCGGGTACAAGCGTTGACCGCCGATTACCGTGAGAAATCTTTACTCAACCGCACTGTATGATCAGAGACTGAACTGGCGGGACTCGGCCAAAACTGAATGAGCTCACACTCACTCCGTGGCTTCAATTCACTGACTATTTTCCACCTCCATCATTTCCGTTCTGACCACCGTCTCTAGGCATTCGCTCATCTCGACTTGATCGCTCCCTCTCTTATCGGCTGGTTTGGAACCGCGTGGAAAAGTGGCATCTGGTTGTGTTTAGCCCTCACCTGGTAAAGTTTGACCATGCCTGGTCATGGCATGTGGTGGAGCTTTTTTCCGAGTTTATCCATGATCCGCGGCTGCAGATTCTAACATTTCTCCGTATTCCTCCTTATTCAGTTGCCGACCTGCAAAGTTTAGTACTCGAAACTCCCCATTTACTCGCTCAAACTACATCTAGACCTGCATTCGCTGTCACTCATTACTTTCCCGAGGAACTTCCGTCATGTACGGATCTACCGCTTCAACAGCAACCCTCACAGGTCAGAAGCGAGCCCGCGACCACCTTGCTCCCGCGTGGAGCCAGTACCACTCCGGCGGAAACGGTAACAGCGCAGGTGCCGCGGAAAACCACCAAGATGGCGGGAACGATCATCAGGGAGATGAAGAAGACGAGGGAGACTACCTCGCGGCTCTGCGCGGGCGCAACAGCGGGCGATGGCGCGCCATCGAGGCGGAGTTCAACCCCAAGGGCGCGGGGAGGGGGAGGGGCCGCGGAAGAGGCGGGGGGGGGCGCGCAGCAGGCGCACCAAGCGGAAGAGGTGCAGGACCTGGCGCAGGTGGGGGAAACTTCAACGGGGAAGGAATAAGCAGCGGGTATGGAGCCGCGAGTTGGGGAGGGGGTCAAGGGGGGGGTAACAATGCTGGTGGAGGCACGAGATCGGGGGAATGTTTCAAATGTGGGCAGCTCGGCCATTGGTCAAGAGACTGCCCTAATAATGCTGGCACTCCGCATTCTGGTAGCGGAAGTTTTGCTGGTAACTCAGCGGGTTCTTGGAAACCGGGCACAGGGGAGGCATTTCCTAGCAGGGGGAGCAGCGGAGGAGGGGGGTGGAGCGCAGGTGCGTCTGCTGCTGCAGGGGGTGACTTTGGTGGTGGGGGTGGCGGTGGTGACGTGCCGGAGCGGTTCTGTGCATGTGGCGCTGGGCGGTGTGCTGTGCTGACTGCACGAACGGAGAGGAACATGGGCAGGCAGTTTTACCGATGCCCCAATAAGGTAACGTGTATGTATATGGCGTCACTGGAGCTCACTGGTGCTGATAATGACTGCACTGTCACTGATGCTAGCGAGTGCATGCTATAAATCCTTCCAGAGGAACATGGACTGCATGCAACTGTACATGGACTGCATGCAACTGTACATGGACTGCATGCAACTGTACATGGACTGCATGCAACTGTACATGGACTGCATGCAACTGTACATGGACTGCATGCAACTGTACATGGACTGCATGCAACTGTACATGGACTGCATGCAACTGTACATGGACTGCATGCAACTGTACATGGACTGCATGCAACTGTACATGGACTGCATGCAACTGTACATGGACTGCATGCAACTGTACATGGACTGCATGCAACTGTACATGGACTGCATGCAACTGTACATGGACTGCATGCAACTGTACATGGACTGCATGCAACTGTACATGGACTGCATGCAACTGTACATGGACTGCATGCAACTGTACATGGACTGCATGCAACTGTACATGGACTGCATGCAACTGTACATGGACTGCATGCAACTGTACATGGACTGCATGCAACTGTACATGGACTGCATGCAACTGTACATGGACTGCATGCAACTGTACATGGACTGCATGCAACTGTACATGGACTGCATGCAACTGTACATGGACTGCATGCAACTGTACATGGACTGCATGCAACTGTACATGGACTGCATGCAACTGTACATGGACTGCATGCAACTGTACATGGACTGCATGCAACTGTACATGGACTGCATGCAACTGTACATGGACTGCATGCAACTGTACATGGACTGCATGCAACTGTACATGGACTGCATGCAACTGTACATGGACTGCATGCAACTGTACATGGACTGCATGCAACTGTACATGGACTGCATGCAACTGTACATGGACTGCATGCAACTGTACATGGACTGCATGCAACTGTACATGGACTGCATGCAACTGTACATGGACTGCATGCAACTGTACATGGACTGCATGCAACTGTACATGGACTGCATGCAACTGTACATGGACTGCATGCAACTGTACATGGACTGCATGCAACTGTACATGGACTGCATGCAACTGTACATGGACTGCATGCAACTGTACATGGACTGCATGCAACTGTACATGGACTGCATGCAACTGTACATGGACTGCATGCAACTGTACATGGACTGCATGCAACTGTACATGGACTGCATGCAACTGTACATGGACTGCATGCAACTGTACATGGACTGCATGCAACTGTACATGGACTGCATGCAACTGTACATGGACTGCATGCAACTGTACATGGACTGCATGCAACTGTACATGGACTGCATGCAACTGTACATGGACTGCATGCAACTGTACATGGACTGCATGCAACTGTACATGGACTGCATGCAACTGTACATGGACTGCATGCAACTGTACATGGACTGCATGCAACTGTACATGGACTGCATGCAACTGTACATGGACTGCATGCAACTGTACATGGACTGCATGCAACTGTACATGGACTGCATGCAACTGTACATGGACTGCATGCAACTGTACATGGACTGCATGCAACTGTACATGGACTGCATGCAACTGTACATGGACTGCATGCAACTGTACATGGACTGCATGCAACTGTACATGGACTGCATGCAACTGTACATGGACTGCATGCAACTGTACATGGACTGCATGCAACTGTACATGGACTGCATGCAACTGTACATGGACTGCATGCAACTGTACATGGACTGCATGCAACTGTACATGGACTGCATGCAACTGTACATGGACTGCATGCAACTGTACATGGACTGCATGCAACTGTACATGGACTGCATGCAACTGTACATGGACTGCATGCAACTGTACATGGACTGCATGCAACTGTACATGGACTGCATGCAACTGTACATGGACTGCATGCAACTGTACATGGACTGCATGCAACTGTACATGGACTGCATGCAACTGTACATGGACTGCATGCAACTGTACATGGACTGCATGCAACTGTACATGGACTGCATGCAACTGTACATGGACTGCATGCAACTGTACATGGACTGCATGCAACTGTACATGGACTGCATGCAACTGTACATGGACTGCATGCAACTGTACATGGACTGCATGCAACTGTACATGGACTGCATGCAACTGTACATGGACTGCATGCAACTGTACATGGACTGCATGCAACTGTACATGGACTGCATGCAACTGTACATGGACTGCATGCAACTGTACATGGACTGCATGCAACTGTACATGGACTGCATGCAACTGTACATGGACTGCATGCAACTGTACATGGACTGCATGCAACTGTACATGGACTGCATGCAACTGTACATGGACTGCATGCAACTGTACATGGACTGCATGCAACTGTACATGGACTGCATGCAACTGTACATGGACTGCATGCAACTGTACATGGACTGCATGCAACTGTACATGGACTGCATGCAACTGTACATGGACTGCATGCAACTGTACATGGACTGCATGCAACTGTACATGGACTGCATGCAACTGTACATGGACTGCATGCAACTGTACATGGACTGCATGCAACTGTACATGGACTGCATGCAACTGTACATGGACTGCATGCAACTGTACATGGACTGCATGCAACTGTACATGGACTGCATGCAACTGTACATGGACTGCATGCAACTGTACATGGACTGCATGCAACTGTACATGGACCTGCATGCAACTGTACATGGACTGCATGCAACTGTACATGGACTGCATGCAACTGTACATGGACTGCATGCAACTGTACATGGACTGCATGCAACTGTACATGGACTGCATGCAACTGTACATGGACTGCATGCAACTGTACATGGACTGCATGCAACTGTACATGGACTGCATGCAACTGTACATGGACTGCATGCAACTGTACATGGACTGCATGCAACTGTACATGGACTGCATGCAACTGTACATGGACTGCATGCAACTGTACATGGACTGCATGCAACTGTACATGGACTGCATGCAACTGTACATGGACTGCATGCAACTGTACATGGACTGCATGCAACTGTACATGGACTGCATGCAACTGTACATGGACTGCATGCAACTGTACATGGACTGCATGCAACTGTACATGGACTGCATGCAACTGTACATGGACTGCATGCAACTGTACATGGACTGCAT